AAAATTAGCTATAACTGTAAACCCACTAGAAATATAATAAGAATATATAATTGAACAACCTAATAGCATATCAAGAAAGTTGTTGCATAAAATTCAGGACAGGCGAATTAAAAAACACTAATTACCTATTCCGAAATACTAATCAGTAAATTATTATTTTATATTTTCTCTTTTTTCCCTTTTGTAATAAACTAGTTAGATTTTTTTGCATCGTGCCTGATGTAGGAACACATCAGGCACGATGTAAATTTATTTGAATAAATTATTTGTTTAATTTTCGATTTCTATTCATAATCAACTGCAACAGTTCTTCAAATTTTGTTACTGGTGCAAAATAAATTAAATGGCTCATTTTCTGCATGAGCATGTAGAAAGAATCACTTAAAAACTTTGTGAAATATGTAATTTCGCAAACTATGCGCTACTTCTGCACCAAAGTGAAACTATCAAAGTGTTTCAACTTCTGGAATATTTTAGTTCACTTTTTTCCATCAAAAGAAATGAAGTGTAAACTGTTCAGTTGAGCTTTTACTTAAAATTTTTAATAGTATTTGTTAAAGCTTTCGCAGAAGAGAAAAGTTTGTCTTGAGTTGAAACTTATAACGCAATATCGAGTATTGAGTAAAAAGTCAAAGTGTTATTAAAAGTTTGTTAACAGGCTGCCAATTTTATTAACACCTTTCAAAAATTGAATTAGCAAGATAAACTTAAACACTGAGTATCTTTAGGAACTTGATATGTGAGGGATTTTAACAAGTGCTAATAGCAGGTAAATAATAATAAAAATACAACTAATTTAAGAACAAAGTCAATAACGGTACCTACCTCACCAACCCTACATTTTGAAAATTTGTTTTTAAATTACCTAATATACTACTACTATATCACATTCAATAAAGTTCCATTTTTTGTTTATTATAAACTAATTCAATCATACACCTATCAATTTGTGAAATAAATTATTATATATCAGAATGAATACACCTATCTCTTGGGAAAACTTTATTTCCAGACACAGTTTCATTCCAAAAGTTTTCAAAGAAATGGTGTAAAAAAGTACATTAGAAAAAGATAATGTGAATTTAATTTAAGTAGGGAAAAACACTCGACAATTTTTGGATAATGGAAATGGAGACAACGTTAAACGTCGATTAAAATTAAATTAGAAACGCGTTTTATCTGAACACAATCGCTTATTACATTTAGGAATGAATTCAGGAACGTAAAAGTTTCTAAAAATCATTAAATGTTAACAATAGGTTATGGGAAATAATATTCAATTGAAGATGTGAAGAAAAAATTTCTATTGCACCATATACTGAAAAAATGATATTATAGATCAATTATTTTCAAAAGCACACTTCTTATTAAATGCATAAAAATTGTTGTTTTCAATTTGACTTGATTAATTATTCGGCACTTCCAAATATTTATTAATTTAGTTCGAACACCTTGTATATAGACAAGTAACAAGGTTCCAAAATCTTGTAAACTTTACTTCATGATTAACAATTGTTTTCGTCATCAGATTTGTATTTTAAAAATATATATATAAGTCATAACGCTCAATAGCATTGAATAATAAAAAACGCGATTCCTGAACTAAATTCTTCATATTTATTAGTTGGAAATAATTTTTAGACTCAAGAAAATCAACTATTCATTGATAGTTTTAATTCTTAACTATTGTGGATAACTCTTTTTTGAAATGAGTCTGGTAATACTTGCAACTTACTTGAAAGAAAAATGCCACTTAAACTTTGTCTTCATACTGTGTTTTCTGTCAAATGGAAAATGTCTCAAATGTAAACGTAGAAGTCGTAATTGTACGCATAGACGTAGTCGTACTTAGGCGTAGACGTAGTCGTAGGCGTAGCTAGTCCTAGTCGTAGTCGTAGCTAGACGTAGCCGTAGTCGTAGCTAGTCGTAGCCGTAGTCGTAGCTAGACGTAGTCGTAGTCGTAGCTAGACGTAGTCGTAGTCGTAGCTAGACGTAGTCGTAGTCGTAGCTAGACGTAGTCGTAGTCGTAGCTAGACGTAGTCGTAGTCGTACCTAGACGTAGTCGTAGTCGTACGTAGACGTAGTCGTAGTCGTACGTAGACGTAGTCGTAGTCGGACCTAGACGTAGTCGTAGTCGGACCTAGACGTAGTCGTAGTCGGACCTAGACGTAGTCGTAGTCGGACCTAGACGTAGTCGTAGTCGTAGCTAGACGTAGTCGTAGTCGTAGCTAGACGTAGTCGTAGTCGTAGCTAGACGTAGTCGTAGTCGTAGCTAGACGTAGTCGTAGCTAGACGTAGTCGTAGTCGTAGCTAGACGTAGTCGTAGTCGTAGCTAGACGTAGTCGTAGTCGTAGCTAGACGTAGTCGTAGTCGTAGCTAGACGTAGTCGTAGTCGTAGCTAGACGTAGTCGTAGTCGTAGCTAGACGTAGTCGTAGTCGGACCTAGACGTAGTCGTAGTCGGACCTAGACGTAGTCGTAGTCGGACCTAGACGTAGTCGTAGTCGGACCTAGACGTAGTCGTAGTCGGACCTAGACGTAGTCGTAGTCGTAGCTAGACGTAGTCGTAGTCGTAGCTAGACGTAGTCGTAGTCGTAGCTAGACGTAGTCGTAGTCGTAGCTAGACGTAGTCGTAGTCGTAGCTAGACGTAGTCGTAGTCGTAGCTAGACGTAGTCGTAGTCGTACCTAGACGTAGTCGTAGTCGTACCTAGACGTAGTCGTAGTCGTACCTAGACGTAGTCGTAGTCGTACGTAGACGTAGTCGTAGTCGTACGTAGACGTAGTCGTAGTCGGACCTAGACGTAGTCGTAGTCGGACCTAGACGTAGTCGTAGTCGGACCTAGACGTAGTCGTAGTCGGACCTAGACGTAGTCGTAGTCGTAGCTAGACGTAGTCGTAGTCGTAGCTAGACGTAGTCGTAGTCGTAGCTAGACGTAGTCGTAGTCGTAGCTAGTCGTAGTCGTAGCTAGACGTAGTCGTAGTCGTAGCTAGACGTAGTCGTAGTCGTAGCTAGACGTAGTCGTAGTCGTAGCTAGACGTAGTCGTAGTCGTAGCTAGACGTAGTCGTAGTCGTAGCTAGACGTAGTCGTAGTCGTAGCTAGACGTAGTCGTAGTCGTACGTAGACGTAGTCGTAGTCGTACGTAGACGTAGTCGTAGTCGTACGTAGACGTAGTCGTAGTCGGACCTAGACGTAGTCGTAGTCGGACCTAGACGTAGTCGTAGTCGTAGCTAGACGTAGTCGTAGTCGTAGCTAGACGTAGTCGTAGTCGTAGCTAGACGTAGTCGTAGTCGTAGCTAGACGTAGTCGTAGTCGTAGCTAGACGTAGTCGTAGTCGTAGCTAGACGTAGTCGTAGTCGTAGCTAGACGTAGTCGTAGTCGTAGCTAGACGTAGTCGTAGTCGTACGTAGACGTAGTCGTAGTCGTAGCTAGACGTAGTCGTAGTCGTAGCTAGACGTAGTCGTAGTCGTAGCTAGACGTAGTCGTAGTCGTAGCTAGACGTAGTCGTAGTCGTAGCTAGACGTAGTCGTAGTCGTAGCTAGACGTAGTCGTAGTCGTAGCTAGACGTAGTCGTAGTCGTAGCTAGACGTAGTCGTAGTCGTAGCTAGACGTAGTCGTAGTCGTAGCTAGACGTAGTCGTAGCTAGACGTAGTCGTAGTCGTAGCTAGACGTAGTCGTAGTCGTAGCTAGACGTAGTCGTAGTCGTAGCTAGACGTAGTCGTAGTCGTAGCTAGACGTAGTCGTAGTCGTAGCTAGACGTAGTCGTAGTCGTAGCTAGACGTAGTCGTAGTAGTAGCTAGACGTAGTCGTAGTCGTAGCTAGACGTAGTCGGACCCAGACGTAGTCGTAGTCGTACGTAGACGTAGTCGTAGCCGTACGTAGACGTAGTCGTAGCCGTACGTAGACGTAGTCGTAGCCGTACGTAGACGTAGTCGTAGCCGTACGTAGACGTAGTCGTAGCCGTACGTAGACGTAGTCGTAGCCGTACGTAGACGTCCATTAATCAAGTGCGCGAGTTTTTAAATATTTTTGGACCCCCCCTCCCCCTTGATGATACATAGTGATATTCAAAATTATACCCCCCCTCCCCTATCAAACATCACGTGTATTTTTAGTTTCGTGATAAAACTAAAATTTTTGAATTTTTTTTTGAAAATGTTTGATTTTTTTTAATCAGTTAAAAAATAAATACACGTGATATCTTACTATACTCCTCCATCCCCTACGTGATATTTCGTAGTTTTTTGTCAAAACCCCACTTTCCCCTAGAAACCTCACGTGATTAATAGACGCCCTCTAAACGTAGAGATAATTGTAAACTTAAAGGAAGACATGATCGAAATCGTAGATGTAGACGTATAAGCATAAACATAAATCTAATACATATTATATAATTTAGTTTATGCAAATCTTGATTATGGCGCAGCACGTTATGTATTCTAAATAAATATCTATATAAATAATATATATGAATATATGTGCGTACATATTATTGTTTTGTCTTATTACGAACTAAATGCTCTTAGCTGGAGACAGCAATAAAAATATATGTGCAGAATATAACACTATTCAAAAGCTAAGGTGCAAATTACTCAAAGTGTTGCACCATAGGGGCTTCATTAAAACGCTCGATTAGTAAGCTCACAGCACATCGACAAAAAAGAAAACAATATTTCGCTCCCAACTGTGAGCAGAGAGTCGCTAATTAAATTTATATTAGCTGCTAGAAATAATTTTGTTCAACATGTTTGCCATCATAGAGATCGCCCATTTCGAAATAGGTAGATAAAGAATTAGATTTATATAAAAAGCTTTGTCTGTTGATGACGACGATAAGAATATCTAAAAACATAATTCCATATAAGCATTATGATATCTAATATCAAAATTGAAAAAATTAATTGATTGAGATTTCAAACTAACGCAGAAGTTTTGTTACTAACATGTTTCAACAGATTTTTTAGAAATAGAAATTAAAAGGAATGAGATAGATGACAATGGTTTAGGCCATTGGTTCCCAAACTTGTTCGTGTCGTGGACCCCTTAGACTTTGCCATGGATCTTCTATCTAGCCAATATCGATTTTTTATAAGTTTCTATTTGTACTAACGTTTAGTATTAAACATTTGAAGTAAAGATTGAAATACAAGTTTAGACATTAATTACTTGACTTTAAAATAACAAAACATAGTTATTAACAAGGTGTGTTGTGCTCCACTACCGTGATGTCTAAAATTCTTTTTTGCTGATATGGACCCCTTAAAAGTTGTCATGGACCCCTGAGGGTCCATATGGACCACTTTGGAAATAATTCACATAGCCTAAACGGCTATTCAATAAATACATAAATACACAAAGTGAAAAACAGGCTAGCAAATCATCAATAAATCTCGAAATATCCAAATACCTAATAAAATACCAGTTACTATCACAACAACCTTAGGTTTGTTTATTTTTCTTAATAAAACCTATTTTTAGGTTTATTTTTCTTGATAAAAGTAGATTAAAAGTCAGAATCTACCCAAAAATAGACCTAAGCTTTTATTTTTTTTACAAAATTTAAAATCATTTATTAATTAATATGTTCTTTAATAATTTCATCATACTGCCCACATGTAAATACATGTTCAAGAACAAACATATATAATTTCGCATATTAAGCTTAACGAGAAGGTACACTATTAACCAGCTCCATTAAAATCAACATCAAGTACTTATACGTTGAAATTATAAGTACAAGAGCTGAATACATTTGTACTTGAAATGAAATCATATTAACTAAATAAATACAACCAAACCAAATCAAATAGCAAACAGTCTAGCAATTTGAGACTTCGAAACAACTATAACTTAAAATTTATGACTATATATTTCAATAGAAATAAGTCTAAATTGTCATTATATATATATATATATATATATCTGGATATATACATCTCTTGACTCAGAGCCTTAATAATTATAAAGATGTTGAATCAACAGCGTATTATTTATGTTACCTATATGTTTATTTATATATATATATATATATATATATATATATATATATATATATATATACATATATATATATATATATACATAATATACAAATATATAAACATATAAGTAACATAAGTAATATGCTTTTGATTCAACATTTCTCTAATTATTAAGACTTTGAGTCGATAAATAAGAAAAACCTTCTATTAAAGCCAGATTTGTAAAATGAATTGAGTTTACATAACTACAAACCGTGTTTAAGTATCAAAAACAATTCTATTATTATTTACCTGTTCATTCGGAGCATCGTCAACCCAAACACCATCCTCAGTAATGGGCACATAATTTTCACTTCTCTGCGGTGATGGGCACTGTTTTATTATCACTATATTTTCATCATCAACTGTAGTATAATGTCCACATTGCGTAAATACAGTTCTCACATTAGATTGAACGTTACTCATTTTAAATAAAAAATAACTCGGTGCCGGATAAAATGGTAAACTTGAACTAGCACGTTTTACGAGCACTGAATTTAAAAGATTAACAAAGGTTCTTATGTTATTTCTACACACTCCAATCTAGAAAGAAAGAAATATTTGTAAGAACAGTGTGAAATCATTATTGAAATTAGTATAGTATAGTTTGTCGATTATATGGTTCATTATGTTTGATGTTTGAGCAAGGTTTAAAACATAATTTGAAGAACTTCTTAATTATATATATATATATATATATATATATAATTTCAAAGTATAAATGATTGAAACCAATGATCCAAAGGCTTAATGATCTAATAATGTTCCTTCGAATAACATATATGGCAACTAAAGACAATATCAATTGATTTAAACTTAAAGTTTGTAAACTTTTCTGTATTTATGCACTGTTTTTATAAACTTATTGCTGATTTTATAGTGTAAACACACTTTCAGTAACTTGTAGGAGTAAATAAACATATTTTAGAACCTTCATTATTGAAATATAATAACATTTCCTAAATATATTTCAACTTAAGAAGCACATATGCACATTTACTGATTACAGACTGCTTTATAAAAATAAAAGCACTATATATTAATATTAATAGCATTAATGAAAACAATAACCTATATTAACAAAAAAGTTTATATAACTATTAGACATATAAAATTCCTTATAATACAATTATGTTGAATGAAACTAATAACATTATTTTATAATATATTATAATCTTACCCTATTTGCACAGTACCTGAAGAGGGACATTAATAAAACAAGATATTTCGCAAATTTACTTAAAAAGTCAAAGAAGTTTGACAATTAAACGCTCCGGCAAAATTTTAAGGTTAACATAAATAAGCACGTGCAAATTCATGCCTTACTGTGGCGATATCTTTTAATAAATAGCGAAAGTTTTTTAAATAAAGTTCTAAACCGGGTTCAAACATTAAATATATAATAAAGCACATATTCTCAAAATTTATAAACACTTCTTCACAGATTCAAGAACGGTACATAAATGCATTTACTACGCACCACTTATGTATTTTTTACTCTATATTCTAACATAGTTTATGTTGGTAGCCTGATTTGACACGTTGCCATTAAAGTTATATATTAAAGTTATATATTAAACTAGTATTAAGTTTTGCTAATTTTATATTAATATAATAATATACAATAATATAATTATTATCTTTAGTTTTTTTCATCTTATAATATTAGGAAAACACTATGTTTCAAAGCCGGTACATTATCCGTTTCCGTTATATATATAACGGAATACTGTAACGAACATTCCGTTATATGTAACGAAATACTCTAACGTCATTCCGTTATATATAACGAAATACTGTAACAAACGTTCCGTTAGGGGACGTCCGTTAATCACGTAAGGTTTTTAGGAGGAGGGGGGTTAAAAAAAATCACGATGTATCAGATGAGGAAGAGAGTGGTATAGTAAGATATAACGTGTATTTATTTTTTGCCTATTTTTTATAAAAAAAATCAAACATTTTGAAAAAAAATCGAAAGTTTTACAATTCTTTCTCCTAGCAAATATACACGTGATGCTTGGTGAGAAAGTGGGGGTAATTTTGAATATCACCACGTATCACCGAAGGGGAGGGGGCGACCAAAATTCCTTAAAAAATTGATCACGTGATTAATGGACAGCCCCTCATATGTAACGGAATACTCTAATAACGTTTTGTTATATATAACGGAATACTGTAATAACGTTCCGTTATATATACTGTAACGGTTTTTAAATATGGCAACTATAACGGTTTTTAAATATAGCAAATGGATTTTTGTAATGCTGAAAACTTGTGTACTGGTAATTCTTAGCGTAGTAAGAACGAAAACTATGGTCTGGCAGATTTTAGCCCTGCACATCATGGTGCGTTTGAAATTGTAAAAAACCTAAAAATCAAACGTGTTGACATAAGTGTCGTATAGTTCAAAATTTACAATTTGTTTTCAATTTGAAAATATTTTTGCAGTAAGTTTTATAATGTACAATGTTTTTTAGATACATGACTTTCGTCTTACTATTTTTAACTTCCCGAAGAAGAAGTTTATGTTTTCATAAAAAAATCCGAATTGCTAATTTTATGTTTTCTCGACGTTTCAAGCCATTCTGAATAGAATAAGACCAAATTTGGAAAAAGTATGTGTGTGTGTGTGTGTGTGTGTGTGTATGTGTGTGTGTGCGTGTATGTGAACAGATTTTTTGCCGTAAATCGACGTTTTCTCGAAAACGGCTGGACCGATTTCAAAAATTTAAAAGCCATTCGATGTATCTCGACGAGAACTATTGTTTGTCAGTTTTGTGCGACGATCGGCCAAGCCGTTTCTTTATAAATGGCAGAAAAGTGAAAAATTTTTCGTCTACGTTTAGCCCGCAATTCTGAATCGATTTTGAAAATTCAAAAACCGTTCGAAAGATATTGGTTGGGAATCGTGCTGATTAGTTTTTGGTAGAGATCGGCCGGGCCGTTTTCTTGTAATAAAGTTTTTAAAAAAAATTTTTGACGATTTTTATGATTATTTTTTTGACGATAGATACCATAGTCTTCTAGATCATACTAAAATATTACGGCCCTACGACAACTGGTTCAGCTTTAAAAATTCGTCAAACTTTGCAAAAATCAGTATGGTCTTTTTGGCATTTGTCAAAATTAGACTTTTGATCGACGTTTTCTCAAAAACGCCTGAACCGATTTTAAAAATTTAAAAGCCATTTGATGTATTTCGGTGAGGAATATCGTTTGTCAGTTTTGTGCAACGATCTGCCAAGCCGTTTCTTTGTAATTTGAAAAAAAAGTGATAAACTTTTCGTCCACATTTAAGCTTATCCTACCAAACCGATATTAAAAAATCAAAAACTGTTCGAAGATATTAGTTCGGAATGGTACTGATTAAATTTAGGTGAAAATCTACCGAGCCGTTTTCTTGTAATTAACTGTTGAAAAAAAGTGTTAATTTTCGTCGACATTTGAGCTCATCCTACCGAACCGATTTTAAAAAATTAAAAACTGTTCGAAAGATATTAGGTGGGAATGATACTGATTAATTTTAGGTGAAAATCTACCGAGTCGTTTTCTTGTAATTAACTGTTGAAAAAAAGTGTTAAATTTTCGTCGACATTTAAGCTCATCCTACCGAACCGATTTTAAAAAATTAAAAACTGTTCGAAAGATATTAGTTGGGAATGATACTGATTAATTTTAGGTGAAAATATACCGAGCCGTTTTCTTGTAATTAACTGTTGAAAAAAAAATTTAAGCCGATTTTCATGGAACTTTTTTTGGCGATATACATCATGGTCTTATAGAACTTACTGTAATATTACGGCCTTACGACAAGTAGTTTAATTTTAAAAATTCGTCGAAGTTTGCTAAAATTATTATCGTTTTTTTTTTAAAGTAGGTTTGATGAAGTATATTATTTATACATTTTTTTTGATTAAGTCGATTATTTACACATATCGGGAAGTTCATGTAACTTGCCTCAAGGCTAAATACCAAACCAACTAGTTTTTTAAACCTTGGTGAATTGGTAAAGGACTTATTTAACTTTGCAAATAACTTCATATTGCTATATTTCGAAACCGTTATAGTATTCCGTTAAACAACGTTATAGTATAACCGTTATAGATAAAAATTAATTTGAATATGTATACTACATCTGGTTTACAATATACTATTTGCGTATACTACTTTATAATATTTCTACACAAACTTGTATATACGAAACTTTTCTTCATGTTAAAATATTATTAAGACGGATATTCTACAACTTGTTTGAAATTGCACAAGATGTAAGGAATGAAGTAAATTTTCTACTTTTTATTCAAGCACTTTTAGTTTTCATAAATAAACAATACGAGTAGCTTATTGGAACAAAACCTACTAATCAAAATATAAAAATTAAAGTAGAAAATCAACAGTTTTTTTTTTAACTGAAAATGTTTTAAATTCACTATTTTTTCAGCTCACTTTTAATAATTTACAAATCTAGCAGTAATATAAATTAATTTTTTTTGTAATAAAAATAAAACTATTAGCTTAGTAAGTACGAAAACCTTGGTCTGGCAGGATTTAGCCCTGAACATCATGGCCGTCCAGGCGTTTGAAATTGTAAAAAAAAATCTGAAAATTAAACATGTTGACATATGTGTCGTATATACAAGTTCAAAATTTACAATTTGTTTTCAACCCTAAAATACTTTTCAAGTAAATTTTTTAATGCACAATGATAAAAATTAATTTGAATACGTATACTATATCTGTTTTACAATATACTATTTTCGTATACTACTTTAATATATTTCTACACAAATTTGTATATACGAAACTTTTTCTCAATGTTAAAATATTATTAAGGCGGGTCTTCCACAAATTGTTTAAATGAAGTAAATTTTCTACTTTTTTGTTCGAGTGTTTTGAGTTCTCATAAATAAACAAAACCAGTAGCTTATTGGAACAAAACCTACTAATCAAATATAAAAGATAAAGGTTAAACAAGTAGAGAATCAACAGTTTGCATTTTTTTTAACTGAAATTGTTTTAAATTTTCTTTTGGCTCACTGTTAATAATTTACAAATCTAGCAGTAATATAATTAGATTTTTTGTAATAAAAATATAACTATTGAAGTATTGAATTTTATTATATTAATGAAGCGTGCATACAGGCGTTTGAGAGCCACTGTAAATTTCGACTTTGCTTGGCACAGTATTACTACGCGTAGAATGAAAGAGTACAGCGTGGCGCCGTGGCTTAGTTGGTTAAAGCGCCTGTCTAGTAAACAGGAGATCGGGAGTTCGAATCTCCCCGGAGCCTGGTGTGATATTTTTGATAGTTTTTTTTTTTTTGATACTTAATAAAAATACTTTTTAAGTATTAAAATTTAGAACATTTTATATTTTTAATATATATAATTATACATATACAGTTTTATATATAAATACAATAATT